TTTCACGCGTGAATTTACATGATCACCTAATACCCCAGCAGTATTGGCAAATGATGTATTGTTTTAAGCGATATAAAATCAGCTCCAAAATGTTACGTTCCTGCACCATCAGATTATTTGTGTGGTAGGAATCCAGCAAGAAGCTTCTCCTGCAACTTGTTTCACAGAAATTAATAGATGAAGCAATATGTTATTGCCATCAAAAAATGCTGTACAATAAGACAACTCAAAAACTATCTTTAGGTGTCTTTAAAAAGCTAACAGATCAGGTAACCATTAAGTAAAATAGACTTAAGGTTGCTCTTGATCTTTATATGTTCAGGTCTTTGTATCATATGTAAAATTTACCAAACCAGACCAAATATCTTTCTCTCTATTTTAAACATGTAGATTTTATATCATACCTACCTTAACTCTGTTAATCCATTGCCTTAGTTAATACAGCAAGAACAGCTTACTTTTAAAAGAAGTCTTTTAATTTTTTAGATAAGTAAATCCTATCAGCTATACTTAGCTGATAGGAACTACTATAATTTCACTCCAGAGCTATGAAGGCTTGTACCAGCTGGAGAGTCGGTTCAAAAGGAGTACTTTGAATATGTATGATAAATTATGAGGACTGCCAGGTCAGATTTCAGGGCTAAAGCTGGCTGCCAGCCGGGAAGGTGAGGAATTCTCGCTTCCTTGTATGACACCGAACGACTGAAGGCATCATACGCCTTGTTCTGGCTTGGCCAGGACTTGCCCACCTCTGAGGCTGGTTACTGGAGGAAAGGGGCTGCTACAAAATGGAAATACATAAAGAAACCTTGCAGAGGGTCTCCCCCGTTCTGCGCTCTCTGGTCTGAAGAACAGGAGCTCCAGCGTGAGCCAAGGGTTTGGCGCTGCCCTGCAGCAGGGGACCCATCCAGTGTGAGGCTGAGGGAAGGTGGAGGAACAAAGGTGGGAAGGTGCTGGGGACACCCTTGCTCTCCAGGCAGCACGGAGAGGCGCACCAGACCAGCCTCATGAACCCAAACCACAAGAGGGAGGTGGAACTGGTGGATTCGTGTTTATGGAGATCCCCAGGCAAGGAACCTGGAAGTCTCGGTGGCTGCTGTTTCCGAGCGGTGGAAGGATAGACCTGAAATTCTGCCTCCTCTGTTTGGATTTAATCTGGCTCTTTGTGAAGCAGTAAAGATTTAACCTACAGTGCACTGAACACCTCTCTGTGTGTAACAGGAGAGACCTTAGCCTTCAGCAGCTGAGGCTGCACGTGTGCAAGTCACCACAATACTCATATACTGTTCCTATCACTGACAATTTCCATTTGGTCCAATCTGGAAAACATCCTGAGTAATATGAGGATTTTTTCTGTTAAGTATTTCCAGTGCTGACTTTTGGCAAGAAAAAATGTCAAAATTCAGTGGGAAAAGAGAGGTTCAGCTAGGAGACGTTTCAGTTATTTTCTAAATAATCTGCCCAAATGCGAAGAGTGAAATCCAATCAATACTGATATTCTTCGTATTTCTACCACTATAAGCTAGAATAGTGACCAACTGCAATTACATTTTGCTTCATTTACTTCCTCAAATACGTCATTCAGAATACATCATATTTTTCATGTACAGCTACAACAAAAATTTAATTCAAAGTGGCTTTGTAAGGCCATTTGTACATCTATTTTGGAGTTTGCTCTAGTTTTGCAGCAGGACATGATATTTATGAAATCCAGCCCCACGAGAAGAGATAGCATTGAAACCGGGGGCTTGGTTTTTACAGCTGGCACTTCAACTGAAGGCTCTAACTTGATATCTGGGTTATGAAATTTGCGCATAAGCACCTCAGACCCCATGGTACACTGCGGCAGCAGATGATGCCAATCTAAATAGCCACAGTAAGGGCACACAGTTCAGCTCTCCATATTTAATCTAATGTTTCCATTGTCCAGTTAAGAGCCTTATAATTAAAGCTAGATTCTGAACATTTCATTTATAAAATATGCTTCTCCACTTATTTTGGCAGTTATCTACCAGATTTCAAGGGTCAAGTTCTGTTTTGCATCAGTTTGTGGTTCTTTTAAACTCAAAGCTATTCTAAAGTCATATCAAAGAGTCTCTACCAACTCAGCCTGCAAATTTTGAAGCGTTCTAATTTCTGAAATTTAAAATTTGGGTTGATTTCACCTCTGTCCTCAGGGGAAAATTGGACTTGATAAACTCTGTCTTGTCAGTTTTGATAAAAAAAAAAAAAGCATTGCAATAACATGCCCTAAAGAACTATAATTCGAACGATACTTAATTTTGATATCCAAACAAAATCTTTTCAAACTTAGGCATCTAAATGCTATTTATAGATGCTTGTGCTTTCAGAGCTTCACTGCTGCCCTGATATGGCACGTGCTGACCTGGCGGAGAGCCCTGGTGCTGCCCACTGACCCCCTGCTTGAGCATTGATCAATCGATGCCCGAGGCGAGGACATAGATGCAGACGAGCAAGGGGCCCCGAAGTCCTGTAAAGGGGATTAGTTTAAGGCATGGCACAAATCAAACCAAAGCCAACCAAAGACAACAAAGTAAAAACGCCCTCCTCCTTTCCTCCACGGCTCTGGTTACAGAAGTCTTTGCTCCAATTTATTTCAGAGTTCACTTTGGAAATAACTTTTTACAGCTGCACATGGCAAGTACTTAGCGAGTGAAGAAGAGAAGCTGGAAAGAATGATTATTAATGGATTCTGCCAAAAAAAGGCAGGGCAAAGTCTTTCATGGATTAACAGCAAGAACTAGCCAACCTTTCTCTAAACAAGGAGGAGGCATATTCCACATTGCCTTCCTGAGAAAGAAGCCAGAGCAGCCACATCGCCTACCACAGCTATCCTGGGCTGTCCCATATGGGATAGCACAGCAGAACAATAACACTTCTCATTTGAGAGGCTGGTCATGTCCATACACAGCTTTGCCAAAGTCACTGTTAGTTTACAAAAAAAAAAAAGCAATTTCATTCAGCTATCTGTGTCTTATTTTAAGTATGTATACCTCCATCTTTTTTCCAATGAGCTTCAACAACCCAGTGTTTCCTTTAGTGAGTGTAGTCAAAGGCAATCCATCACGTTGGTGCGTGCTCTGAAGCGCACAGATTTACGAGAAGGGCTCAGAGGACTGTAGTGGCATCACATATGCTGACTGTGCTGCTTTCCTCCCCTCTCAGTCAGACCAGGGTGACCTCTCTAGAGGGACAAATCAAGTTCTTGCCTGGGTGAGAGGCAACAACTCCTACTGACCTCACTGAGATCTGCAAGCCCTTGCTCAGAGAGGGGCAACATACCACCGATCAGCTGCTCAGGGACTGGCAATGCCTCCCAATTCCTGCCAAATTTTTGTAAGCAGTACCCAGCAAGTACCTCACCTTCGTGTCAGGTGGCAGCTCTGAGCGAGCCTGTTCCAGTGTTCACGCAGGAACTCAGTGGGAGCCCTGGGAGCAGCTGCTTTTGGAGGTATTTTGCCTCTGTGCAAGGCAGCAGATCTAGCCTATATATATATGTATACATACATATATGCATACATACATATATATACACACACATACAAGGGGGGGAGGTATGGAATGGCATACCACTGCCACGAAGAAAAAAATACCCACAAAACTAAAAGCAGCCACATAGCCTCCTTACATGTTTGCATTTCCTTTTTAGAAAATACTTAATTGACAAGTCCTTGTATTCCACGGGGCTATTCAAATTCATCCTTACTAGTGCCAATCCACTGAAAGCTCAAAGGATTAAGCAAGTCAGTCACTTCAGACTGCAATGCTCAATGCAGTTGTCCTGAAACAACAGGTATTTGGGGACAGCAGCTAATTTATCCTTAATTTTCTTTGCAATAGGAGTAGTTGTTACAGTCGCTAAACCCTAGCTAAAGGTAGCATCACAAATGCTGAATCCTTTAAAATACGGCTGAAACCTTGACTAAACTGGCTAAACAGTTTGGCTAGCATATGCAGGCAAAACCAAGCTGGGCTTATTTTAAATAAGGTTGGAGACTAAGTTTGGCATATAACTCAGTACTTTGTCACAGTACAGTGAACTCATATCTGGTGACTGCTAAAGTAGAAGAGCAAAGTCTCCTCAAGATACTCATCAGCAGCACATCACCTGCCCTCCCTGAAAAGTGAAGTACTGGATATACTGTACCACGCATCCAAAAGTGTTTAAAGTAACTAATCAGCTTGCATCAGTAGCCACAGAAATTTAAAGCTATTGTCAACAAGAGACTGAAATACAGAACAACAGACAATAGGACTGGCAATAGGGCTGGTACTTATTCTTCTCCTTCCTCTAAGTTGCAATCTATTATGTTTTTATCATTCCTGACAGGTCTTTATCTCTCCTCTTCTTAAAAAGCTACAATGATGGAAATTCTGTACACTCTTCAGACATCTATTCCAGTACTTCATCAGCCTTACAGCTAGTAAAGTTTTTCCCAACATGTAACCTAAACCTTCTTTTCTGTAATTTCTTTTGTTATTTCTCATCCTATTTACAACTGATGTGAAGAATAATTTACTGAAAACTGTTAACATGCCTCTTCGATTTTCTCTTCTTCATGTTAAACGATCACATTTCCTTCAGACTTTCCTCACAGGTCATGTTTGCTAGGCCTCTGATCATTACTGTTGTTCTTAGGATACTCTGTAATCCCATACCATAATATCTGAAATGGGCAAGCGTGACACAATTCACCAGCTTATCTCAGTATTGCATTATATATTCCTTTGCAGCATCTAATTTACTGATTTGAAATAAAATAGAAATGCTAATTTAAAAAAAACCCATATTTTCCCTATATGCATGTCCTCCTTTTTCAAACAGATAATCCTTTCTAACAACTTCCAGTGTCTGAAGAGGTAGGTGCGTTTGGCTGCTCGTCACAGGTACACCGTCTTTGGTCCTCAAATTTGGAATAATTACCCAAATATTAGAAGGCTCTGCACTCATCATCATCCCGGCAGTAGTGCAGCCTGCTTGGTATGAGCTGCGCAGCCATAAACGAAGTGAGCTCTTTGCCTAGTCCCAGGACCAGCTCTTCCTTCTCTTGTCTCCCGGGCCTGGTACCCAGATTTCTCCAGCTTATGGTTTTCTGATGTCAGTGCACTGCTGAAACTACACCACAGTGTCAGCCCGCACGGACGGGCAACAGACCCTGTCAAGAAGAGGCCCAGAATAAAAGTGTTTGTGCTCATATCTACAGAGAACCAAAATCCCAAGCGCCTCTGCAAGCCACCCGCGTCAGCTTCCTACCAGGGCTGCTAACCAAAGAGATGCTACAGCCAGGGCTTAAAACACATTACATTTGCGATATGCAGTAATATTTGATTTACTGGACTGCACCAGGTCTACATCAGCATGATCCACTGTTATCTACATTAGGTGCTTTTTGATTGCGCCTTTTCTGCAATTAAAAAAGAAATAAACTCACTGTCACCTCTTCTATTTCTTTCTGATTCTTTATGCGACTCAGTGGACCTTTTCATACTACTACCTCGTATTAACAGCAAACTCCAAACTTTGGGGCCTTCGCTGTGCAGTTTTCACTCTAAGTCAGGTCACTTTGGCTCTAAGTCAGGACAACTATGAATTCATTGTGCCTGATCAAATCTATCTTTCTATTGCCTCCCGACCTACCTGTGAAGTCTTCAAATCCTCTGCTACTGGAAGGAAAAAACCTCCTGCGTGCATTAAATACTTGTGGATCTGGCACAGAATTTGACACAAGCTAAGGCACTCAAACCTAAACTGTAGCACTAGCAAAGCTGTGCCACATCAGATGGGGTCAGTAAACTCACTAGTATTGTTATTAATCCTACTCTGGAAAAAATGACTCCAACGTTATCATATGGCAAATAAAGAGACAATTATGAGAGGGCTCTACACTTTCTGACTTTTACAGTGAATACCCACACTGGAGTCTTGTTTCCCTCTGCTGTTTCCCACACAGTAACTCCTCCCCACTCCTGATTTCCTCCCCACACATCCCCCCCGGCTCTGGGTACCTCTTCACCAGCAGGAGAGATGCCTGGACGGAACACCAGGCCTGGCAAGCTCAGCCCAGGATACACTTGCTCAAGCTAATTATCCTGCAGTAACATTTCCCAGGTTGCACATGCCTGCAAGGAAAAAGAAAAAAGAACTATTAGTTAAAAATCCAAAATGTTTGGGGGCTATGCAACCTGGGCACATATCGGTTGTGCCCTTCCCTGCTTAAGCAGACATTTTGCATGAAAAACTGGCAGCATGTAAAAAGAAGGCTGCCTCCATCAAAAGAGGAATCAGAACAGGAAAACACACGGTCTGCGCACTCAGTACCCACAGCGAACGTTAGTCCGTGAGGCCACAGGGCCCAGTTTGTTCTCAGACCAATGAAAATTTGAAATAATTCCATTGACTTCAGCATAGCATTGTAAAAGCCAATATAAACGGTGGAATGAAAACAGGAGCGCCTAAAAACATGTGTGGATCGATACTGTGGGAAGACTGAACGGAGCAGCGGCTCTGCAGTTGCTTCTCTTAAAAGCCAGGGTTCACTAAACAGCTTTGTAATAACGAGGTTTCTATAGTTTAGGCTAGAGAAAAATGCATGCAAAAGCTGAAACAAATCAACTAAACAAAAGCAAAACCAACCTCCTCACAACCTCTAGATGCTTTAGCAACTCATTGCAGAAACGATTTGCAGAACTTGCATCTGATTGCGTGTGTGGGGACGAGAGGGGGAGCGAACGGCCGGCAAGGCGTGAGAGAGACGCACTGCAAATGAAGCCCCAGCCAAAAATACCACTGCTCATTTGACATACAGAGTAATAAACAAAATGGCTTTAAATATGCAGGGAATTGACAATAAAGTATAAGAACCGTGACCATGCCGGATTGTGTTTATTTACTCACATTTAGAGATAAAAGACTCCAATTCCTCACGGGTAGGAAACTTTTGCATAAACTATGTGGCAAAATGAAACCCGCAGGGGGATCCTGCTATCAAGTCTCTGAAGCTGGCCTGCACAGTTCAGGTTTGCTTCAGTCAGTGAGGCACATTTTAACTCTTTTTTCTTCCCTTGTAAGGCAGGCCGTGCCTGTGCCATCGCACCAAGCACGCAGCGGATACTAAGTTGACAGAGCAATGCAGCCCAGGAGCTGCAGGAGAGCAAAACTCGCTAATGATTCAAATGGCATCCCGAACGCTCTGGTTATGCTGTTCGTTTGCAGAATTACACATACTTCAAAGTTGTTTCCATCTGTCTTTGACGCTATCTCAAACTTGCTAAGCTGTACACTAATACTGCCCAAGGGAAAGTAACCGAAATAAATAATAATAGTAAAAAGATCACACAGAAAAATGAAGGTTTTTTCCATAGATCTTATCAGTAAAGTCGTACTCAAACACACACACGCATGCGCACGTTCTCCCTTCTTTCTGAACGTCAGTGAAAGAGGTTTTGAGCACAAAATCTGTGCCCATCTGGTTCCATTTTTTAATATTTTCTTTTTTTGGTTTCCTTCTCTCTCATTCCAGCCCATATTTATTTCCTTTTGTTTAGTCTGCACTCTTTATTCCCTTTCCTCTTTTTGCAGATTTCTGTTTTAATTTGTTTGCGAGAGAAATATTCTTTCCCTGGTTTTCACAGTACAAGCTGGTGCAACAGGGCCCTTCAGGATTTCCTTCCCTCCCTTACTCACCCCCCCGCTGCAGTTCTGATCGTCTGTGCTCAGTCTTGGTGGTAGAGCGAAAGTGTTAGGCCTTGTTTATTTAAGAAAAGCATATTTGGTTGAAGTTCAGTTTTAGACACCTAGTACAAACCTCTGCGCAGAGGCTCAAATGCGTTACTGATGAGTCATTATACTTCGGGTACCTCACAGCAACTCCTGATCCATCCGAGATGAACCACTACGCGGCAGGACCAAGCTGAAATTAAAACGCCTGCAGTGGGATTTAACTAAATTGGTTTAAAATCGCATTCTCTGTCAAACTGGTAGAGCTGAGTTTCACAGCGCTCCGCTGAAGGTTATAAACCCTAAAAAAGCAGAGAGACCAGCTCGGGAGGGAGCTTTTTGCGCTCTTGGCAACCCTTGCTCTGTCCCCAGACCGGCAGGAGCTCTGCTCGGGTAAAGCCCCAGAGCCCCCAGCCCCAGGGCAGCCCCTG